GCAGTTAACACCGACAAGTCCAAAGCAATAATATTCCGGAAAGGCTATTCCAATTTTAGTCCAACTAGCCCAGTTCTCTTCGATGATTATATCAATCAGGAAAGATGAAGCAAAATACCTCGGACTCATTCTTACAATAAAAAATTAACAATACCTTAGAGCAACTGTCAAGGAAATGAACATCATACTGGTAACAAAGAGGCCCATCCTTGGAAGACGCAGCAACCTGAAAACTATCAACAAGCTTATTCTCTACAAATGAACACAACGATCGGCTCTCCTCGAATCTAAAGCAAAATTAAGTAATGCAGAACAAAGCCTTACGGGAAATTATCAACGCACCCTGGTTCATTCCAAACACATAGATTCATAGAGGCACCATTCAAAAACTCGCCACCTACAGTGGTGCCTCGCATAAAGAACGCCTCGCACAGCGAACGCTGCACACAACGAACTTCATTTCATGATTCATCCAATGAACTTCGTTTCACACAACGAAGTCGCCCGAGCTTCCACGACCGCTTTGTCCGACTGCACGACAAAGGACCCTCATTACTGCTTGGAAGATGCTTGTGCCTTCGTGGACCCAGGAAGAAGCAGTAGTTGATGACACAGAAGTAGTGAAGGACATCATCACAGTGGCCCAAAGGTTGGAATTAGAGGTAGAGGAAGAGGATGTAGAGAAGCTTATTGAGGAACACGAAGAAGAGCTGACAACTGACGAGCTCCAAGCACTTCTGGTCCAGCAACAGGACAATGCTCAAAGGGAAGCGTCATCTGATAACGAGGAGCAACAATCAAACTATCAACCAATCCCAACTGCTGACATCAAGAACATCCTTGTCAAATGGAAAGCAGTTCAGGAGTTACCAATGTCCACTATCCGGATTCAGCTGAAGCAAACAGGATCAACGATCTTTACTCCGATACTCTTGTCCGTTATTTCCCGCAGATGTTGGAGAAAAGAGAAAAACAAACGACTTTGGACAGGTTTTTCATGAAACCATTGGCCAAAAAGCAGAAAATGGATGAAGATGTGCAAGATTCGGTAGACTCTACTTAGTCTGTCTTAAAATTTAAATTTTTTTTTTTTAATTATGTTTTTAGATGTATCTAAATAAAAATAATAACAAAAAATTTATCTTTTTTTATGTCATCTTAGCATATTTTATGCTACAGAACGAATTATTTTTTTAACATGTATTGTTATGGGAAAACGCGTTTCACATAACGAACTTTTCGCATAACAAACTTGCTCCTGGAACGAATTAAGTTCGTTGTGTGAGGCACCGCTATATTTGTCCTGGTCAGTGCTGACCCACTAAAGTCAGCTCACTTAGCTACACTGCATTCCCTACAGACAAGTGTACGTATCTCTTCAACATTTTAAAATCCTAACATTTTAAAGTAAGTCTGATTCTGTTAATGTCCCTGATATTTGCCTTGAGTGAAAGGTAGGCATTTACTCTCTGAAACTCAAACACAACATATGATCTTCGTCCGATCTCCGAATGACCTGTTTGCAGAAATTTCTGTTAATGTTCTACATATATAATGGAAATAGGAACCATTTTCGTTACAGAATCTTCCATAATCTCGCAATAAGCAAAATAATTTTGAACAACATAGTTAAAATAACTCATTTCAGTGAGGACTATTAGATGTTCTTCTGTTATTAATTTACTGTAGAAATGAATTCGAGGCTAAAGTTGTCTTTATGAAGAATTAAAAGAACCCTTTTGTTATCACCTCGCATATGAAGAAAACTCTAAAAATATCTCGAGCCCACCAGCGGCCGAGCGGTAACGTCCCTGAACGCTGGTAGTTCGATCCCAGGTTCGAATCCCGCGAACGGGCTGGCTGCATGGGGGTTTTCGCGGTTTTCCCCGTGTGTAACGTGTATACGAGCCAATTTCCCTTAAAAAGGTCCTCCACGAAGGCATCCCTCCCTTAAGGCAGATGGTTACAGCCGAAAACATCGCGGCAAAAACATCGCAGACGAAAACGTCGCGGAGAAAACAACGCAAGGCGAAAACGTCGTGCTACAAAACATCGTGGGAGAAAACATCGCAAAGAGAAAACATCGCAGTTCTAAAACATCGTGGTACAAAACATCGTCGTCGAAAATAAAGCGGTTCAAAAACTTCGCAGTTTAAGAACATCGCCGTCGAAAATATCGTGGTAAAAAATAAAGTATCTACAAATCATCGCATGACGATAACATCGCAGACATGCTTTTTTCAGGCTTTAATAACTGTAAATGGATATTCCCATAATGATTTGTGAGCGCAAGATGTAAAGAAGGATAATTTTTTTACTTTCATATTTTTTTATTAAATATTAAATTTTTGCTGAGAAAATAAGAAGGAAACTTAAGCATAGAAAATTAAATGCAAACTTAATAGATTATACTTTTTATGAAAAATTACCTGTAAAATCTTTATAAAAAATTATTTATTAATGGTCTTTGTTAGTTAACTATGTCGATTTAAAATTCTATTAAGTTGCATTAATTTTCTATGCTTAAGTTTCCTTCTTATTTTCTCAGCAAAAATTTAATATTTAATAAAAAAAATATGAAAGTAAAAATTATCCTTCTTTACATCTTTGCGCTCACAAATCATTATGGGAATATCCATTTACAGTTATTAAAGCCTGAAAAAAGCATGTCTGCGATGTTATCGTCATGCGATGATTTGTAGATACTTTATTTTTACCACGATATTTTCGACGGCGATGTTTTAAACTGCGAAGTTTTTGAACCGCTTTATTTTCGACGACGATGTTTTGTACCACGATGTTTTAGAACTGCGATGTTTTCTCTTTGCGATGTTTTCTCCCACGATGTTTTGTAGCACGACGTTTTCGCCTTGCGTTGTTTTCTCCGCGACGTTTTCGTCTGCGATGTTTTCGCCGCGATGTTATCGGCGGACACCAGGCAGATAGCCCTCGAGTGCTTTGCCGTAGTCTAATAAGCCAAACCAAACTAAAAATATCCCAATTCTTGGTCTGTTTTACGTTTGAGTTACGTTGTTTACGTTGCGTATGACATAGAACATGTTATTAATTTTTTTTTTTTTTTTTGCATCTTAAATTAGATGTAGATTAAAAAATTTGAAAGGGATCCATTGTTATTTATCCACGTCTACTACAAAGATTCTATCAACGACGATAATATATCCGCGAAAGTAATGAAAATAACAATGGAGAAATAACTTAATTGGAGGATTCCTAAGACACTTCCTTTTTGTTTTTATTATGAAACCAAACTTACGAAGCAATGCTCACCTACCAGGAATCGAATATTGCACAAAACTAGTAATTCTCAATAGCTTTAACCAGTTTGCCTCAGGTTAGACTTGCGCAGTCATTACGAAACATTGGTAATTTGCCAGACCAAGCAACAATTGAGCCGTTTTCTTTGAAAGTGGTGTAAGTCCATTTTTGACAAAAAGTTTGTTAAGGATTTAACAATAAATGCAATCTGCTATGAACTTTATATCTATAAACAGTTAACCTCAAAATAGCCTTCAAGATTTTCATCACTTTCTCAATATAAATTAAATGTAATTAATGAAATTACAAATATAATTGCTTTAAAAGTCCACTTTCCGAAAAGACTTAGTTCAATAATTATTCTACATAATTTCTCTACTTCGTTTTTACATGAGTGGCAACATTGTTAATGACATAAAAATTTTCGTTCGTTCACTGGAATTTTGGTACTTCGCCCGTTTATTGTAGAACATAAAATTTAGTAATGTGTTCTGTTTGTTTACGTAACATGAAGTAAATAATTACGATCGCCCCTAAAATTAGCAATTGTTAATTTTATAACAATGGTGCATTTTATATTATATAACGTTCGAAATGGATAACGCCACCATAATCGGACAGTTATTCAGATATGTGTTTATAAAATAAACTCTTATTCTATTACATACCTCTCTACATTTTAATTAATTTTAATATTTTATTACTGGCCCAGAGGCTCAGAAGGGCTATTAATTTCGTTTTGGAATTTTGCGTTGGTACACTATAAAAGTCCGAATCACTTTTCAAATTTTTGCCACTAAATAGTAAAGCCCTGCATTATCTTTAAAGAAATTAAATAATGAAGAATATGCATGAATGTATGTATGTTTCTCGCATTGTGAAAAAGCAATGGTACCTAGAAACATCAAATTTTGAATAACGTTGTCCTCCACTCGAATATGGGCATCTGGAAGCCTAATTTTGGAATTTATTTTATTAACTATTTCCTATTTTGTAAAAATTTAACGAATTTTTGATTAACAAACTTAACGATTTCAAAGCGAGCAATGGCAACACAGTACGAAAAAATAAAAAAAAAAAAAAACATTTTTATCTCCAGCACGGGAGACTGTGTATCGGAAATTATAAATGTAATTATAAAATTTGAAAACTTGATATTTTGTTATTATTATTTTTTTTATTTTTTTTATTTTAGTTTTCATTATTTTACAGAAATCCTCCCAATGAACAGAAACAAGAAAAGAATCTGGAAATGAGATTCTTATGAAATAATGTATGTTTAATAAAAATTTGGTTCGATTCGATTGAAATCCCATATTCAGTATTTCATAAATTTATGATTTTAGTTTTTTATTGGCTTTGAAAAGTGTTCACCACTTTCCGATTGAGGTCATCAAAAGTATAAATTTCTTTTAATTAATACTTTAAAAAAGTATCACATTATTAATTTAAAATTTAATTCTAAATTAATTTAAAATTTAATAATAAAACTGATAAAATTTTTAAAACGTAAAATGAGCGTAACAATATTAGCGTATACGAATATTTTTCAAGCAATTCAAATACAAACCCTTAAATATCTCCGTATAATATTAAGTGGACTTATACCATTTTTAAAGAAAACGGCTCAATTTATTCTGAAGCATATTTTATTTCTAAGATCTATTTTGACTTGAAATGAATTGTTATAAATGAAATTATTTATAAACAAAAAATTTACTTACCCATTTAATTCGCTTATTCATTCACAAATGAAATGACTTATTTTCTAGCTGTAAAAATAATTCACTTTCAAATTCTTAAATTATAATAAGAATATAGTTAGTTCACTTTTGGGAAGACTCACTTAAAATCTAATTAGTCATATATATATTTTGAAATTTTAGTTTTTGTTGAAGAGCAGGAGCTAAATTACAGAACCATCTTTAACTAACATTTTCTTCCTTTTGTTTCATTTTTTTTTTCTCTTATTCTTTGGTGATTTCATTCGCCAAAAGAGCGATGCAGGAGAATGCTAAGAAATCGAATTCGCAGAAAACGATATATTTTCCTCCAACCTTGGGCGCCTAGCCTACATACCTGTATTGGCAGCGCTACCTACCGGATGCTGTAATCGTCCGTAACACAGTTTCTTTCTCTCAATTCAATGAACATAATTTCTGTGATTTTATTTCAATTTTGAATCATGGGGCATGAGAGTTGCTTAATCGCCGTTTTAATATTGAGGTAGCGTAATAATTGTTAACTTTAGAATGGTAGATAGTAGATTAGGTTAACTTTAGGACGGCTAACAAATATTGATTTGTGTATATACGCCAAGCATAACGCCAATACACGTTTATAATAAGTATAAAAATAAGTGTGCATATACACATGTATACATGTAATTATATATCATGTGTGTGAATTAAATGGTCATATGATTCCTACACTTCATTTAAACTTTTCCTCGAATTACTTTAACTTAATAAATCGATTTCTCGAAACAATTTAAAAATGACATCATTCCAATTCCAAATTTTGAGATGAAATATTTTGGTCAATTTTTGTCGCAAGGGAATCAAATTTTTTATAATTTTATTTTTTTCATAACAAGTACGAAATTTTTCGAAATATCAAAAGACAGTGTTAAAAGATTTCGTTATTTGTCGAATAATTTTTTTTTTTTTTTTAGTTTGACATTCGCCAAATCATGAACATTTTCGTCACTTAAAACACTTCTGTAATTGGAAGTACATGACTGCCACTAACGATTGCGAAAATAAAAGCCGTACATTTGTGGCCACAAATAAATTGGCCGGATGAGGGGTGGGTAGTTGTGCAGCCGCCTTTTTATTGCAATCAGGAGAACCAAAAGTATAACTATCTCTATCTTTCTCTCTCTATATATAGATATATACTTATCTCTCCTACAGGGTAACTATCTCTCCTACAGGGTGATTCTAAATTGCTTTTACAAATTAAGAGGGGTCTCATCCAGAAAAGCAATAATTACCATAGAACATAGCGTCTCATTCCACTCTGACAGGCAGGAAAGAAGATTAGAATTCCAACCTGAACTTACAACAGTGTTGAGAGAGCGAATGAACGAGACGAAATGTTGCAAAATCAGTTTAGTGACAAACTCACAGAGAGTGCACAAAACGGATAAAACAGCAAACTTGGCGTTCAAGTGTTAATTTGAGCTGAGACTTTGATGGCTAACACTCAAATGCACATCTTTAGTTGGCAAGGTTTCAATCTCCCAAATGATTGCAACAAGTTAATTATCTAAATTATTAGGAGGAAATTATCTATTAGGGGGAAAAACTACCTTGATATCAAGTATTGATACTTGAGGTAGCAGTTGTTTTTCTCTTACCTACCTTCTATCCTGCCTTCATGGGCTTACTCTGCTGCGCTCATTTTACTTGAAGCGCCCTTCTATGGGATACGAAGTTCTGACAGCCGCAACGTAGCATGATCTTTTCATGCTAATCTCGGCATGCAGCGGACGTTGGAGTTAGTTGATAATATTCAGCCCTTGATTGCATAATTAACTCGTTGCAATCGTTTACGGTGTTGACACCTTGCCAACCAAAGATGCACAATTGAGTGTTTGCCATTAAAGTCTGAGCTCGAATTAACACTCGAACGCTACGTTTTGTGTACTCTCTGTGAGTTTGTCACTAAACTGATTTTGCAACATTTTGCAACATTTCCTAATAGATAATTAATAAAGCACTTTCTTTACTTCGTATAAGGAAATAAAAATAAGTATGCGTATACACACATATATATATATACATATACATTTAAACAAATTTTAATTTAAATTTTAACAAACGCGTATAAAAGTAAAAAAGCAAATTTAAAGCCAAAATTAAAATTTTAATTTTAACAAACACGTATAAAAGTAAAAAAGCAAATTTAAAGCCAAAATTAAAATTTAAAGCCAAAATAATTTTTAGAAAATTTTTAAAAAAATGTGCAAACATATAAAAGATTTTTAATTCTCGAACTAATCTACAATATCATTTAAATTCAGAAACATAAGCAAATCAAGTGCAAATCCAATCCATGAAAATAAATTCACTAATTTAGCAAATTAAAATTAATCCAAACAGTTTTTTTAAAAATGCATAAGTGAATGACTGTTGAGCAGGCAGGAGACAGACTCATCAAGGAGAAGTTGCCTCCAAACCTAACTCTCCAATAATTCAATTCGTGTTTCGTCATTCATGCAGGCAAGGTTAAAAGTCAAAACCAAAAGTAAAAAGTGAAGAATGTCCAAAAAGAAATACCAATAAAGTGGTACCCTTAGAAATTCGCATTAAAGAATTAAAGTTCTAAAAGAAAAATACTAATGAAGTCTTTTGAGAAACAAGCAAGTAAAGTCAAGTATTAAATTAAACTTTTTTTCAATTAAATTTTAAAAAAAATTAATTTTTTAAAAAAAATAATCTAGAAACCAATGTATTTTAGAATCCCTTGTCTACAGGAAACTCCCCCGACACGAATATGCATATCAATAAAAAGAAACTAAAAAAAGAACTAGACATAATCCATATAAACCAATAAGAAACAAAAAGAACTAATTCACAATTTTTAAAAAACAAATATATACTTAAAAATATAATTTCATATCTAGAAAATACTTAAAAACTACATAAAAAATTTTGAAAAATACTTAAAGCAAGTAAATAGTAAGTTTTAATTCTAACTTACCTACTATATGAGCGCTGGGGTCTGCAAAAGTGTTTTTAAAGAGAAGTAACTGTGTTCTTCAAATTAATACATAAACGGCACTTATGTAGGTAAAGTTGAGTGCCAAGCTGCTGCTATCTTTGTTATATTAAAAATTTTGATGCAAACATTAATATTAAAATATAAAAAATCTAGAAAAAATTAAATTAAAAATTAAAAATTAAAAATCCTAAAGGTATGTAATTCAAGTTTTATTTTAACGATCAATTATTTAGGGTGTTAAGTAGCTGAGTCAATCAAGAGATGTAAGTTTGCTTGAAGGAAATAAGTTAAGTGTATTGTGAATAATAAATGTAAACTGTTTGTAATGTGAAATGTGTGTTCTGTTGAAAAATTGTGTAATATTTGCAAATAACGATATAATACACACATATATATACAATATATACATATATTTATATATGGTAAGTGTGTGTGTGTATATATATATATATAATAAAATAAGGTGTTTGTAACAATAGAGTATTGCTAATAGAACACTCCAACTTTCTATTGTTTTGCTGTTTGTTAATAGAACAATTGTTTTCTAATGGCTCCTGCAAAGAAAACTGCCGTAAGTAAAAATATACATTAAAATTAAATAATTTATTAGGATTAGAACAAATATTTTTTTTAAAGACTCGATGAAATATTAAGCAAAAGAATACTAAAACCCCACGTTTTTTTAAAAAAAGTTAAGTTGATTAGCTTGGTTTATTTTTGATTACTGCAAAGCACTCGGGCTATCTTCCTTCGTGGATTACTTTTGTAAGGGAAACTGGCCCGTCTACACTTTAGAGATGGCGAAAACCGCGAAAGCGCATACTGCCAGCTCGTGCTATAATATTCGATCTCCGAACCGAACTACCAATAGTCAGAGACTTTACCGCTCGGCCGCTGGTGGGTATAAGTTAAAGTGGAATGAAAAATTCTAAAAAACTGCATGTAAATGAAAGCGAAAAGATCATCCGTTTTATATTAAAAAAAATGAAAGTAACAGTTTAATTTATTCCGGTTTTACTTTCTGTAAAATTTTGCCTACTAATTTTTTTACATTAAAAAAAGGATATTTCGTCTTTGATTTAGGTAAGAAAAAAGAGTTAAAAAGCATTACATGTCTTAAATTTTATCGTCATTTCTCTACTTTACTCAAGCACTTAAAACGTAGTTTTATTCACAGAAATTAAAACTGCCAACACACTTTCATTGTAATATAGGAGACGATTAGTGATGTATGTAAGGCCTGTTATAATAAGAATATAAATGGTCTCCTAGGAAACTAATATATAACTATATATAACACTTCTGAATATTCATAATTTCTGCCTTAGTTTAACGATGGGTGGGACTTCCGTGGCTATGTAGATACTTATGTGGTTATGCTCTTATGAAACAAATAATGCCCGTTAAGATAGTGTCGATGAAAACTCAAGTGAATAACTAATGGCGCTGTTGATATCACGTAGAATATCTAAAACATTTATCTTACATATACGGTGCGTGCACTTTTGTAAGAGAGGCGAAAACAACGATATGACAATATTAAATACATTGATATTTCAAAAGTAGAGCAAAATGCAAGTGTTTCCAAATATAGATATCATTCGGTTTAGCTGGCTGATTAATTGCTTGTAGCGAAGTATTCAAGAAATAAATTGCTTAAAATAAAAAAATAGATGGAATGACTTACAGAACACCTTTCTAAGGAGAATTCTAAGGGTATTTCTTTTTATATTCTTAATATGAATACCAGTCAGTTTCTCTCAGTCTTCATCAAAAGTATTCGTTCCCTTAGGCATGTAGCTCTTGTGTACTTTGCTTTAATCAAATGCTGAATTTAAACCAAAACCAAAAACAAAAAGCGGATGTGGGTCGAATTATCGGTATCAAATCCACCAGGCCATTATAATGGCCACTCATTATTCGGTTTAAGACAGAATTATATTCCCGAGATTTCAGCGTAAAATAGAGCCAGTTAAATATGATAGGAACACATACAAAATGTCAGATTCTTTTATTCAGTAATCAACGTAAAATACTTGAATAATTTTTAAAATTTTATTATGAAATTAAGAGTTGAAAATTATTTAACGTTTTAGATAGTAGAATTTAAGGAAATGAAATTCTTTTATTTCTTTAAAAATGGTAAAATAGATTTATTTTTTTTTTATTAGCCCAGAAAGGCTACAGAGGCTGTTCACACATTTTTTAGACGATGTGTATTATATTCACAAAAC